CTAGATTTTTCAATTTCCTTTGTATCAACGTCTTTCATTTCAGCAATTTCACCTGCAACACTGGGAGATTTTGATTTATCCGTTGGTTCTTTTGTTTCTGCTGTGATACTCGTAACACTTGGAGACCTGGATTTTTCAATCTCCTTCGTATCAACATCCTTTAATTCTGGTTCTTCACCAGTAACACTTGGCGATTTTGATTTATCTGATAATTCCTTAACTTCTGTTGGAGCACTTGTGATGCTAGGAGTCCTCGATTTTTCGATTTCTTTTATATCAACATCTTTCAATTCAGCAACTTCGCTAGCAACACTAGGTGATTTTGACTTATCTGATGGTTCCTTCGGTTCTGCAATAATACTTGGAGATCTGGATTTTTCTACATCTTTTACCTCAACATCTTTTAATTCTGGTTCTTCACCAGCAACACTGGGCGATTTTGATTTATCTGATGGTTCTTTTGATTCGACAGTAACACTCGTTACACTTGGAGACCTGGATTTTTCTTTATCTTTTATCTCGACATCCTTTAATTGTGGTTCTTCACCAGTAACACTGGGCGACTTTGATTTATCCGACGATTCTTTTGGTTCCGCAGTAACACTCGTTACACTTGGAGATCTGGATTTTTCTACACCTTTTATCTCAACATCTTTTAATTCTGGCTTTTCATCAGCAACACTGGGAGACTTTGATTTATCTGATGGTTCTTTCGGTTCCGCAATAACACTCGTTACACTTGGAGATCTGGATTTTTCTATGTCTTTTACTTCAACATCCTTTAATTCTGCCTCTTCACCAGCAACACTGGGCGATTTTGATTTATCCGATGATTCCTTTGGTTCCGCAGTACTTGTTACACTTGGAGATCTAGATTTTTCAATTTCCTTTATATCAACGTCTTTCATTTCAGCAATTTCACCTGCAACACTGAGAGATATTGATTTATCCGTTGGTTCTTTCGATTCCATAGTAACACTTGTTACGCTTGGAGATCTAGATTTTTCTCCGTCTTTTCCCTCCCCCTCTTTTCGTTCTGGCTCTTCCCCCGCCCCCCTGGGTGATTTTGATTTATCTGATGGTTCCTGCGGTTCCGTAATCACACTTGTTACACTTGGAGATCTAGATTTTTCGATTTCCTTTATATCAACGTCTTTCATTTCAGCAATTTCACCTGCAACACTGAGAGATATTGATTTATCCGTTGGTTCTTTCGATTCCATAGTAACACTTGTTACGCTTGGAGATCTAGATTTTTCTACGTCTTTTACCTCAACATCTTTTAGTTCTGGCTCTTCACCAGCAACACTGGGTGATTTTGATTTATCTGATGGTTCTTTCGGTTCCGTAATAACACTTGTTACACTTGGAGATCTGGATTTTTCTATGTCTTTTATTTCGACATCCTTTAATTCTGGTTTTTCTTCAGCAACACTGGGAGATTTTGATTTATCTGATGGCTCTTTTTCTTCTGCTGTGACACTTGTTACACTGGGGGATCTTGATTTTTCAATTTCTTTTTTATCAACATCTTTCAAATCAACAATTTCATCAATAAGACTGGGTGACTTTGATTTATCTGATGGTTCTTTTACTTCTGCTGTAGTGCTTGTTACGCTGGGAGATCTGGACTTTTCTATTTCTTTCATGTCGACGTCTTTTATTTCTGCTGTTACACTTGGAGATCTGGATTTTTCTACGTCTTTTATTTCGACATCTTTTAATTCTGGCTCTTCACCAGCAACACTGGGCGACTTTGATTTATCTGATAACTCTTTTGGCTCTCCAGTAACACTTGTTACACTTGGAGATCTAGATTTTTCTTTATCTTTTATCTCGACATCCTTTAATTCTGGCTTTTCTCCAGCAACACTGGGAGACTTTGATTTATCTGATGGCTCTTTCTCTTCTGCTGTGATACTTGTTACGCTGGGAGATCTTGACTTTTCAATTTCTTTTTTATCAACATCTTTCAAATCAACAATTTCACCAGCAATACTGGGTGATTTTGATTTATCTGATGGTTCTTTTACTTCTGTTGTAGTGCTTGTTACGCTTGGAGATCTGGATTTTTCTATTTCTTTCATATCAACGTCTTTTATTTCTGCTGTTACACTAGGAGATCTAGATTTTTCAATTTCTTTTGTATCAACATCCTTTAATTCTGGTTCTTCACCAGAAACGCTAGGTGACTTTTCTATTGTTTCTTTAACTTCTGCTGGAACACTAATTACACTTGGTGTTCTAGATTTTTCAATGTCTTTTAAATCTGGCTCTTCTTCAGGACTAGGTGTTTTTGATTTATCCATTATTTTCTTTTCTTCTGTAGGAATACTTGTTACACTAGGAGATCTTGATTTTTCAATTTCTTTTGTCTCTATATCTTTTAAATCGGGTTCATCTCGAGCAATACTGGGCGATTTTGATTTTTCGGATACCTCCTTTGGCTCTGCTGTAACACTTGTTACACTAGGCGTTCTAGATTTATCAATACTTATTGCTTCTGCTTCTTTCGAATCTTCGATATCACCAGCAATGCTGGGCGATCTTGTTTTAACTTCTGTTTCATCTATTTCACTTGGTGATTTAGATTTGTCGATTACCTTAGTTTCAGCCTCTGTTACAACATGAATTTCACTTGTAATACTAGCTCGTTTCGATACATCGATCACTGCCTTTGTTTCTATTGGTATACTTTCGGGCTTCATTTCTTCTTCGACTTTCTCAATTTTTTCAATAACGTGCTTTTCTATATCTACTTTCTCCTTCATTTTCATTTCTTCTTCTTTGGGAGAAACTATTTCTTTGTCCGTGATATCAAGTTCTTGAATCTTTTCTGTTATAATGGGAGATTTTGGTTTTTCTGTAGTTGATGTAGTATCTGTAACAAAAGTTGATTTTAATGTATCGATTGGTTCTTTGATCTTTTCATCACTAATACTTAGCTCTTTATCAGTTACAATTGTTGTAGTATCTAATTTTGTTAATGTATGTATTTCCACTTTAGATTTATCAACATCTACAATTGGAAGCTTATCCTTATCAATAATATCAGTCTGTTTAATATCAGAGGATATTTTATCCTCAAGTATTTTTGATTCATCAAGAATTTTTGTTTCTAAATCTTTCAGTTTCTCTTCTTTCATTTTAACTTCGCTTATCTCCCGCAAATCATTTTTCTTTTCTATTTTATCTTGGTCAGTAGAGATTTCTAATTTGTGATCTGTGATTAATTCTTTTTCCTCTATTTTGGCAGGTTCGATAATTGATTCCTCTTTTGGTGATTCACTCTTTTCACGCGACACACACACTTCTTCTTTTTCATCTTTTTTCACTTCAATTTCACGAATCTCTTGGCTAATTTCTTCAACTCGCTTTGTTATGGTTTCTGTTTCTAAAATTAATTTTGCCGGTTCTACCTCTTTTGTATCGATTGGAATTTTGCTCGGTTCTTTTAATTTTTCCGTGGGTGATTTCGCAAAAATGGTTTCTGCTGGTGAAACATCCTCCGATCGAATCGATTCGGATGATTTTAATGCACTTATTTCAAGCATTTTTTTATCAGTTTCTTCCTTAGACTTTTGTAAATGATCTTCAACAATTTTTTCATGCAATTCTTCTTTCTCAGTAATGTCAGGTTTTACTTTAGCCAAATCCTCAATTTGTTTCTGTTGTAATGGAGATTTGGGAGTTTCTATGTCCATAACAGATGGAGAAGTGCTACTATCCGCCTCCTTCGGTTTACCTTTCTCCAAACTATCCTCGAGATCGCGCGAATCACGTGTATCGATTGGAGATTTATCCAAACTGTCTTCGGGCGTTATTTTTCCAATGTCTTTTGGCAATGACTTTTCGGAAATACTGTCCTTTTCTGGGCTACTTATTTCCGAATGCAGAGAGTCCTTATCTAAAAGCAAAGAATCTTTATCAGGTGTTGTCTTGATAGATGTATCTTTAAGAGAATCTTCGGGTGTAATAGCTTTTTGAAATGCGATAGTACCGGCTGCACAAATTTCCGTTTCCTGTCCACCGTCTTCGCTACTCGCTGTGACCAACATTCGCCGAACAGATCCAATGTCTTCTCCGATTTCTGGTTTCTTCTCCTTTATTTCTTCTACCTGTGCTTCTATACTTAAATCGATACGTTCCTGTTCTTGTTTTCGTTCCTTAATTAAGGATAGATCTTCTGGAACAATTTGTTTTTCATCTTCAATTTTTTCCAATTTTGGAGATATTTTTTCTACTTTAGCTAATTCCTCGATACTTGGTTTACGATCGATGATATCTTTAATTGATTCAATTTCGGTTTTAACTATTTTCTCTGGAGATTTCTCCTTAATTATCTCCTTCTTATCTTCTGGTTTCTCTTCTTTTACTATCTCTGGAGTTTTAATTTTTTCGTCTTTATCAAGTTTTTCTTCCTCGACGGTAGATTTTAACTCAGGTAACGATTCTACTAATTTTATTTCTTCTTTCTTCTCCTCAATCTTTATTTCTTTTTCCTCCTCTGCGGGTTTCTTTTCTTCCTTCTTCTCCTCAACTTTTATTTCTTTGTCTTCTTTTACTGGTTCCTTTTCTTCTTTCTTTTCCTCAATCTTTACTTCTTTTTCTTCCTCTACGGGTTTCTTTTCTTCTTTCTTCTCAATTTTTATTTCTTTCTCTTTCTTTACTGGTTCCTTTTCTTCTTTCTTTTCCTCAATCTTTACTTCTTTTTCTTCCGCAATAGGTTTCGTTTCTTCTTTTTCCTTCTCATCCTTTAATTCTTTTCCTTCCTCTTCAGGTTTCTTTTCTTCTTTCCTTTCCTCCACTTTTATTTCTTTTTCTTTTTCTTCAGGTTTTTTTTCTTCTTTCTTCTCTTCAATTTTTAATTCTTTTTCTTCCTCTACGGGTTTCTTTTCTTCTTTCTTTTCTTCAATCTTTAATTCTTTTTCTTTTTCTTCAGGTTTTTTTTCTTCTTTCTTCTCATCCACCTTTAATTCCTTTTCTTCTACTGTAGGTTTTTTTTCTTCTTTCGTCTCATCTACCTTTAATTCCTTTTCTTCTACTGCAGGTTTTTTTTCTTCTTTTTTCTCCTCAATCTTTAATTCTTTTTCTTCTTCTACAGGTTTCTTTTCTTCC